CTACTGAAATCTCGAAGCAAACCCATTGTTGCTTCATCCATGAGAACCATTCATGTAAAAGGAAGGGAACAGAACTTCGGCTGAGGGTTGAAATTTAAAAAATCAATAAGCAGTGAGAAACAATGACTGGCGAGCAGTGTTCCCATGTGCGTGATAGTTGTCTAGTAAGTAAAACACTCGGTTTGTTCTTATCCAATACACTGAAGCGTCCCTTCAGCAAATTAGAAGGGACGGCTTAAAGGATGGATGAGTATTTTTAGCAGCTACTCAACCTCTGTACTCTGGACTGTTCCCTTTTGACTGCCGATTTCCCACCAGCACAGGAAGTCAGTATAGACGCGCTTGCAAAACTAGAAATCCCAGAAGCCTGGCTACAGTTGCAACTAAGGGTGATGAAGGCCCGTGGTAAGTTCATATTCACCCAAGAGTTAATAATTATGGCAAAAGTGGAATGGCAGAAAAGTTTTACGGCCTATTTCATTGAATGGGAACCTCATAATGTCTCCCTTGAGAAGCGTGAGGTAATTGATCAATTTATATTTCAAGGGGACAAACAACCAGTGTTCCAACCATCTTGGTATTACTCTATGTTTATTTATCTGGAAGGCAATTCTCCTAGGTTATCTTGGAGAGGTTGAACTGAGTAGTTGATAAAACAATCCATCCAAATCACATATGCATCTGAGCGAATGTTTGCCATGACCAAGGTTTTGCCCTTCGTAGAATCCTTAAGTGGTGGTGACGATCCCACTTGTCTTAGTTTGTCAGATTTCTCAACTTCAAGGCTACCATTGGTTCGCTAGGTCGTCCGACGATGTGCAAACTTTTCAAATGCTAAGGGATACCTGAGCATGCATATCATTTCCATTTCGGAAGAGATGTATTCAGGAACTTTGTCTGCTGTCAAAGTCGAATGACAGCTACCTGAGCCTCTCTGTTAATTGTGTAGTTCACCAGGGCGATATGCTTTCACCTCTGTTGCAAACATTGCTCTCGATCTTCTTTTCTGAAGCAGGGCTGTTTATGGCAAATACGAAGATCTCATTTTAGGTGGAAGGCACATATTTTTTTTGCTAGATATCGTGCGGACCTGAATTACGCAGATAATATTATTTGTGAGTAGTATGGGATGCGGGCACTGTTATCTGCTGGATTCAGTATGCAGCACGTTCATGAAGTAGGTATTTTTCCTAATTGCCAGAAGTACAACGTTATGAGAAATCCATTGGACACTCTTCGATTCAAATGTTTTGCAACTT